TCACATTACCACAAAGCAAACATCATAATATAAACAAATTAACCTTTTTAATAAAAATAAATACCTTGAAAAAAGAATCAGAATCACAGATTACTTTCACAAAACTATTAAATGAAAAGGAAGTAACACCAAAATCTCACATAATTTTGAGGAAAAAAAAAACAAATTGCTATCACGTGATATGCATCCAATAATGAATCAACTGTACCACCATGCAAATGTCCCTTCTGTAATTACATAAAAAACTCAATGAGTTACATCTAACTTGTATTAATACTGCCATAACATTACAAGAGAGATTATTGTTATAAACAAAGCAGCCAAAAAAAAGATTTATTCAAATTTTTATACCACCAGCAATAGATGCTTGATCATATGCCATTAATATACTAATTACATTACACCTTACTTTCCCAGCACTAGTTTAATCAAAATACACATTAAAGAAAAGAACTGAGTTCTAATGGTAGAACTATAATCACTATTTGTAAATTTAAAAATAACAGTTATAGTTCTATCATTTTTATGCAGTCATTCTGCAAAAATATAGTAATAATTTTTTGTATTGGTTTTAAAAAAGTTGATATTAAGCCAAACGATTGCCTAATGAATCAAGCTACTTTACTGCTAGTATTAACAATTAAATTTTAAGTAATTTGCTACTAGAGGTAGGCATTAGGTGCCATCTCTTATTAAATTTAATAATTATAATTAAATTAATATTTACTAAATAATTTAGAATATTCTGGAAGAAAAGAATCAGCCCAGAGTGGGACTTGAAATCTGCAACTTCCACTTACTTTGAGGATATGTTGCCAATTACACTACCCAGACCTCTGTCTGATCCTTTGCTTCCAGACATATTTAATTTTGGATATAACCATCAGACTGAGGATAACTCCTATGTCCGCAGCCTATAATTACGACTAGGACACTCAGCTAGTTATTGCTTTATCCTGGCATAGTGTGTTTGTTTGTGTGTGTATATATATATATATATATCTTTATAGAACATTGAGCTTTAAGATGTTTAAAGATAGATATATATATATATCTTTAAACATCTTAAAGCTCAATGTTTTTTTAATAATAAGCCAAATAATTGCTGTAATGAATTGGGTACTTTACTGCTACTATATTAATAATTAAATTTTAAGTAATTTGGTACTGTAGGTAAGCATTAGGCACCATCTCTTATTAAATTTAATAGTATTATCACATTATCAGATTTAGAAAATTATACATTATCAGATATAGATTACATTATCAAATTCAGAAAATTTAGTAGAATAAACTGACAAAGTAAAGGGCAGTACAGTATAGTTTTTTTATTTTAGACAAACCTGAATCTGAAAATAATTTTATTATTTCTCTTTAATTGTGAACTATTTAATGGAATCTACTCAGTTGAATTTTAATACTTAATTTTTTAATAAAGACAGAATTATTTATTTCATTTGGTTTATTTATTTATGAAATTTCTCATAATAATAAAGAACCATGTATTTATCCTATCAAATACATTTGCCTATGTTTATAATTATATTACAGAATAATTTTTACTTTACTATCATGAAATGCACAATATGTAATGAAATAAAAAAGAATTATTCTGTAAAATGGTCACCAGAATACAAGTAATTACTATATTTATTATAATAAACAGCATGCTGTTCATAACATTTTCATTTCACATCTACACTGTTTATTAGAAGGCATATTCATATTGGATTTATTCAAATAATAGTCACAACTATTATTAAAACAATCAAATTTTTGTTCTAACTATTATTCAGGGGCAGCTATTATTTTATGGTATCAAAATTACATCTTGTGTGCTGTGTTGGTAAATGTTAACTTAATTTTATAATTTTGTGCTAATTAATGTTCATTCTAAAAATATATACAGTAATCTTGTATAGTTCTGGTAAATTTGTTTTTTTATAATTAAATAAGTTTAATTAGTTCTGTGATAATTAGATATTATCTTCATGGATCTCTCATACAAAGGAAAGCTTCTTTTTAAAGGAGAGCCATCTTTATTATTTTAAATAGAAATCCATTTTAGGTGTGCTCCTCATCAATCTGTTCTAGAAAACATTACATTGATATGTACTGTACATAAAGTAAATAAATATATAAAAAAACATAATACAGTAATTCTTAAAAAATCTAACCTTGTTAGAATTACTGTATTATGTTTTTATACTGATAGAGTTACTTACTATGTACTATAAATTACTTATTTTATTATTTTTACTATTTATAAAATTATTTTCTTTAGTTTTCCCTTGTATGATAGATTTGTGAAGGTAATATCTAATTATCATAGAACTAATGAAACTCTAGATCAGAAGTTAATACAACAACTATATAGAGTTTTTAATTTTTTAATTAAACAAATGCATATATGTTCGTAATACCTAAGACTATTATTCAAGGATCACTATTATTTTTATTTTTTGGGAGTTATGACTATTATGCAAGGGTGACAATTAAGGGAATAAATCAGGTAACTTTTATTTGCTTCATTATTATTTGAACAAGGCAACAGTCAAAACACTTAAATTTTATTTCAACATATGATGATAAATACGTTTCAATAGATCTATAGAAATTACAGTAGCAATGACAGTTCTAAATAGAATGTGCAATTTTTCAGTTTGCAGTTGGCCTTATCTTCCTCCAATACATATCACATTTATTATTACAGGACAGTGTCTACATTTTTTTTCATCTTTCAATTGCACTATTTATTAGAATAAGTAATATAAGATATAAGCACAGAAAATATTGTTTAGTGTCTTATGTAATTTATATTCTAATTTGTAAAACTGTACATATTAATTACTCTTTACTTCTAAGCATATCTAATAAATTTGTAATGAATTGATGATATAGCATGTTATTTAAGAAGGACTGAACAATAATTTTAAATAATATATTGTATTTATTAAAATATTTTTATTTATATAACACAGAAATTATATTTTCTCATTGATCTTTAACAAAGTTGTTTTAATCATAGTAATTGCACATTTAATAATACACTAAAAATATTAATTCTGAGAAAGACAGAAGTATTCTCAATAAATAAAGTTTTCTCAATCAAAATAGAATACAGATTTAAAATTTTCTTTAAAATATCACATTAGGTTAGACTACACTTAGAAATAAAACTTTAAACAAAATAAGTTAAACACAAAAATAAATAGTTTTAATAATAATTATTTAAAATAGTTTCATCTATGTTTAAGATATTTTGTTTAAATGTCATGTTTGACTTGTAAGTAATGAATTATGCATGGTATTTGAGTAAAATTTTAAATCTGTATTCTGTTTAGAGTGAAGAAGCCATAAATTGTAAGAGAGGTGAAAATACTCTCAATCAATTTTATTTTTTTAATGTATTATTAGATTGTGTATAGTTTGTTACAATTAAAAGATTTGTTTACATTTAACCTTAGTAATTGAGCTATGTATATATTTTAATATTTATGTGTCTTATATCAATATTAATGAATATTTCAGGATCAAGTCAAAATGTGAAGAGAAAATCACCGCAATGCCCAATCTGTGGGAAAGGATTTTGTGGTCAACAAGCTCTTACAAGACATATGAATTGTCATCGAATTCAAAAAGTCAATTATCATTGTAATATCTGTGGCCGGACTTATACCCGCATAACAAGTCTGTATCGGCACAAAATGATTCATGAGGGATCTTATAATTACGGTTGCAATTTATGTTCAAAAAAATTTAATCGTTCTGCATCTCTGCAACGGCATATACAAGTGAAACATTCAGATTTATATCTGTAAATCAAAATTGAAAATTAAACTCTTTATATATCATATTTTTAAATATATCATATTATAGTTTTAAATAAAGTTATTAATATTGTAGTCTGTGTTAATTCTTTAATTAAGAGAAAAATGGTAATTCATTATTATTATGTTGGGTTTAGTGAGATATACTCGGTTCACACCGGTGGCTGTGTACTATGCCAGACCAGAGTTAAGGCATAGCAACCAAAAACAAAAATTAAATAAATGTGTCAGTGTCTGTATTCAGGAATTATACTGTTATGTTTGTTTCGAGTTTTGTGATGGTGTAGTAAGTACGGATGATAAACTTGTTCATTTCTATTGTCCATTTCATCCATTGACGTTGTTTTCCAGCCTTTGTGGTCTGTGGATACATTGCCACAGAAACACCAAGGCTAGGTTGATTCCTCACATCTGTTGAGGGCATTGCAGTAGCCATGCTTGGACCGGTGCTGCTTTTGCCACCGGTAACCAAGGGAGACTGTGGCCTATTTTTCGAACATGAGCCTCTGCCTAACCCACGAACGCAGATCTTGTTAATCCAGGCAACGTCTGAGCTGGTATCATACTTAGATCTGGTTACTACCATGATAAATATCTCCACAGAATGTGGGTATGGTCATTCTTAGCTTCATTTCTCCCCATAGACCTTACTGGCAGGGGTGTCCCTCCAGGAGCTTGTGCTCCAGCCTGCATTGCCCTATGGATCAGTAAAATTACTGGGCTCTCCTACCACGACCGGGTGGTGACCACGGGAGAGTTATTATTATTATTATATTTATGTAAATGAATTTTAATTTAACCACAAGCCAGTATTATAGCATTTTATAAAATGTTTAAATTAAAAACTTTAAATAATCACAATATAAATAAAATTATTTCTTATAACATTTTCTCAAAATTAATAATTTTAATATTGTTTAGTATTTTACAAATTAAAAAAAAAACAGGCTAAAATTAATCTCTAAATTAAAGTATCTTAATTTTTTAAGGTGAATTACTAAAACATTTCATTTATTAAATAAATTTATTAATGTTGGTTATTTGGCTCTTAAATTTATGTTTTAAAATATAAATATCATTTAAAGTTTATTAATTAAGTTTTTAAAATAATACATTATGACACTTAATTTAATTATAAGGCTAATATTATATACTTTCTTTGTATTTTAGGTTCAGATAACTTCCTTGCTACACCTTATAAACAGAAAGAAAAATCAACACAATGTCCTGAATGTGGAAAAGTTTTATGCACTCAACAGGTACTTACAAGACATATGAATTGTCATCGGACTGTTAAAGAAAAATATTGTTGTAATATATGTGGTCGAACTTACACCTGGATAACCAGTCTTCACCATCATATGAAAGTACATGAAGGACCACTCCCTCATTCCTGTCATCTTTGTTCAAGAAGTTTTGCCTATGTCTCTCATTTAAAACAACATTTAGAAAAATATCATTATTCACTCACTCCTCAATAAAACTGATTGTTCATAATTAGATTGAGTTTTATGCAATTTTAAGTTTAATGTGTTTTTTTATTCAAAAATCAGATCATTACTTGAAATTGATTTTTTTTCATCTCATAGTTAAGTGAACACAACAATATTNAGAATTTCTATATATAAAATAATTCACATCATTTTGTACAAACAAGCAAATTTTATATTTTTCAAAAGTGATATTTGAAGTTGGATATTTAAAATTTATGAAATACATTATGTATTTTACATTAGTTTTCTACAGTTTACAATATAAATTGTAGGATTATATAAAACAGCATCAAAGATTAAAACATTTTGCTAAAAAATGCTGATTAGAAAAAGATTAAGTTACTAATTATTCAAGAATGTCTGTCATCATCTGTTTCTATCAAATTTATCTGTAATAATTAGTTTTTAAATTGTTAAATAATTTAATTAAACAAATTCTCATCTTATTTTTGGTAAAATTATTATTTTTATAGTAAAATAACTAAATTGTATTATTATTATACTGTATATGAATATTACTGTTATCATTTCCTTACTTTTATTATTAATATTTTATAAGCATTTTCAATAAATATATTATTATTTAATGATGATTTGTCATTAATGCATTATCTATTATTTACATAAAATACATTTCGCAAAATTCATACATATGTGTTGACTTAGATGACACTAAATGAGTTGATTGTATCTTATTTAAATATTAAACATTTAAAACAAATGTATGAATCAGTAATAATCAAACATTTATTTAAAAAATGTAAAGCATATTATGCTCTTTTTAAGTAATGTTAAAATTATCTAGTTCATAGTTGAGAATTTGTCATTGTATTTCATAATTTTTTCATCTATGTCTTCAGTTATTATCATAGTAAAATTATCTCTCCATCCTTTAATGGATAGATAAGTGTACTGTGGTGGTTTAGTACTTCAACCTTTAATGCTAAAAGCTTTTTTTATAGTTCATTTAAGAAATGAAGCTATCACAATTATATTTTTTTCCTAACTTTTTGTCTATATTTCTTTTTCTTTTATTCATGGGGAATTTGCTTTTCAATATACTTCTATTTTTTTATTCTTCAAACATTAAATATCTGTATACATTCTGTGACATGTCTTATGCATATCCTATTATAATTTGTATTATAATTGGTTTTCATCCAGCTTTTTTATTAGATAACTTTTATATATTTATTTTTATTAATAATTAATGATTTAATCATTATTTAGAAAAGTTTATTTATAAATTAATTTATTTAAAGTTCACAAAACTTTGCACCATATTTACTACTATTTATTAAATTTTATTTAATAAAATATATTTTTACCCCTGAAATAAGCAGTGATTTATTTTATTTATTTGTAAACTTTTCTAAAGCAAAATTTATTAAGAATTTCAAATTGTTAACATTACCATTTGGGTTTATTTCTGTTTTATGATAAGTATTTTCTAATAAAATCTGCAATTGACTTATTTTTTAACATTAATGTGTGAAAATTTTGCATTTATTTACTGTTTCATGTTGTTTATTGTTTTATTTAGGTTAGGAATTGTAAATATAAGTAAAATTGTGTATCAATTGTAATCTTATTTTTAATAATTTTCCATTTAATAAATTTATTTTATTCATTTATATATTTAACTTGGTTTTTTCCTTACTAAATTTTAGGAGTTTGTGAAAAATCTCAAAATTTTACTGTTACTTTTGCATACACTCAAAATAATTTGTTAATTATAAATTTAAAAGAAAACCAGTATATGTTTGTTATAAAATATTATGCATATAGTATGATAGCTAATACAGAACAGGTGGAAAATAACTAGGCATTGAGAAATCACTATAGTTTTTGTAATAATGCAATCATAATAAAATTTGTGTGCACATGTACATTATTTAATGGAATTTTATACTTCCTGCTTTGGTGATGTGGACAATGACCAAGAGAGGCTACATGTGCAGTGGCAAAAAAATATGGCTGATCACTTGTCTGTACAGAAAAGAGTGTAGATTGCTGCACACTGTGAGGTGTGAAAATCAGTAGTTGCTGTGTAGTGATGATGGTGTATAGCAAAAGGACATCATGCCACAATGTGTCTGGAAACAAACAAGAATTGTCATTTGAAGCTAAAATGATCACAGGTTCATTTGTGGATGTACAGAGAAGTGGCTGTCCATCCACATCACAATCTGAGGAAAATGTCATTGGTGAATGATGTTGATGCCTACACTGAATTTTAAGGTATGCATTTATATTTCCATTTAATAAGATATATGCCAATTAATTTTCACCATCTTTGCATTAGCAATATAGAAATTATAGTGATTTCTCAATCCCTAGTTACCTTCTACCCTCCTTATATGAAATTTTACTATATTCTTAAATTACAGATTCCTAATAATTAACCACCATCTTATTAAACATTAAAAGTACTAAAAAATAATTGAGAAGTCAAGGGGGTTTATGATTCCAATTAACTAATTATTATTATTTTTTGCATTATTAAATAGAGTATTAGCAAGAGAGTTATGTTATAGGCCTCATAAAAAGATGAATTTCTGAGTTATAAATTTAAAATATTTTAATCATGTTCTTAGCTAATATTTAAAAATGTAAGACAATAGCCAGATGGCTGATTGATTGAGGTGATTAAGGCAACAGCTTATCACACTGGGAGACCCATGATCAAAACCAAGAAATTATATCTAGGAATTGTTTAAGGTGCTGTCCTAGACAAATTGTGCATCATTCTCTCATTAGCTAACCAAATCTGTTAAAAGTACAGAAAAAAAGCACTTTTACTAATCACATGACAAAGTCAAAATGAAAATATATAAGTAAGACAAAAATTTTATAGCATTTCAAACTGTAAAATATCATAATATAACCAATATAATCACACCTTAATCAATATCATCAATATCACATTTTTCAGTAATACTGTATTAGAAACAAACTAAAAACAAAAATCAGTATAAATGTTGGAACACAGTAAACCATTAAATTTCAGTGAGTAGAATCTGAAGCAAACTCATAAACTAGGCTGAAAACTTTTTTCTAATACAGTATTAGTGGAAAATATAAGGAATGTGATATTGATTCATGTAAAATATATTTNGCTTATGAATTTTTTTATAATTTTGTTTCTGTTACTTAAAAATAATATATCTTTGTTTATAGAATTTTATGTAAATATTATTTTCAAATTTATAATAATAAAATTTATAAGTTTTGCTCATATATTGATCTAACTTTCCAGTGTGAATACAAAAGATTGATTATATATATATATATATATTGAGCATATCTGAAATATCTGGTTTATAAAATGTAAAAATATTTCATAAGCTGTATTCAATCAGAACATCTTGAAAATCATCTCATTGTTATCCAGTGGCTCTTTCAGATACTATGGATGAAAAATTATTCTCCTGTAGAAACTAATTTGAGAAGTACAATTCTTGAAACAGTTGCAAAGATGAAAGAAAAACAATGTCGAGAGAAATTTAGAACAAAACTAAATGACATGTTATAATGTCTGTTAGACGGGTTACTTTGGAAGTATTGTAGACAAAGGAGGAAAAGCAGAAAACAGAACCTAGAACAATTCATTTCATTTATTGCATATACCTTATAATGTTGATGCACAGTTGCTCTGTCAATACCTGTTCGTGTTGCCAACTCCTACAGACACCATTGTTTGTTGTCCTGTAAGCATTGGGCAATAACAGCAAAGCAACAATGGCACGAACAGTCAGCATCTGGTACGAGGCATATCAGAAATTGCTACTCTTTCATGTTCAAAAGCTACTACCCAACTTGCAACAGTTCTGTATAGGAGAGCATGCTCGTCAACAGCTTCTACAAACTGTGCATGGCATTCCCTCATGTTTTACCCATTAAGCACTGCAATTTTTACGTATACATGCTGTTTCAGTCAATCACATCCATACTGAATGACAGTCAAAAACGAACTTTGTGTTCTGCTTCTGTTGATGCTTCTGACTTTGTGTTCTGCTTCTGTTGATGTTTTGGAACAACCATCTAGCAGTGCCATTGTGCAAAAATACATCTTTATGTCATAGCTGTACATTGGAAAATATGGATTGCAGCNGTATTAGAAACAAACTAAAAACAAAAATCAGTATAAATGTTGGAACACAGTAAACCATTAAATTTCAGTGAGTAGAATCTGAAGCAAACTCATAAACTAGGCTGAAAACTTTTTTCTAATACAGTATTAGTGGAAAATATAAGGAATGTGATATTGATTCATGTAAAATATATTTTTAATTACAAATTATTTAAAGAATTCATCATTTAAATGAATGTTTATCTTTCAAATATACATAATTTCAGAAATATCTATAATTTTTTTATTTTGAGATTTTGGTTTGAAAAGCCTGTTTGGACAAGAAAGAAGAATTTCAGAATTTTTTAAATTTTATTTTAATATTGTTTCAAGTGTAATAAGTTTCTATGTAATTTAGTAATGTTTCATTTATAAAAGAATAACTTATCAGCTATATATATTATTTAAGATAAATTGTATTATTATTTTTTCAAATTAGATAATTTGTAATTTATCTTAATAAAATAGTAAGTGACATATGTATATATATTTATAAGTTATGGCAACAATTTTTGTGCAGGCAAATGCATTGTTACACAAACATTTCAAAATACACATATGAAAGGGCACAATGTACTCTACCAATAATGTCTGTTAGACGGGTTACTTTGGAAGTATTGTAGACAAAGGAGGAAAAGCAGAAAACAGAACCTAGAACAATTCATTTCATTTATTGCATATACCTTATAATGTTGATGCACAGTTGCTCTGTCAATACCTGTTCGTGTTGCCAACTCCTACAGACACCATTGTTTGTTGTCCTGTAAGCATTGGGCAATAACAGCAAAGCAACAATGGCACGAACAGTCAGCATCTGGTACGAGGCATATCAGAAATTGCTACTCTTTCATGTTCAAAAGCTACTACCCAACTTGCAACAGTTCTGTATAGGAGAGCATGCTCGTCAACAGCTTCTACAAACTGTGCATGGCATTCCCTCATGTTTTACCCATTAAGCACTGCAATTTTTACGTA